GTTCCACCCGATCGTTACTATGTGGATCTAGAAAATAATTCGAGAAGGATATCCATCGGCGATCCTAACGCAACGTATAGAATCCTGTGGGACGATTATCGTAAGAAGAATCGAGTCTTGCACTCGGAAGCTTCTCACTCGATGAGACACAGATGACACTATATGAAACGAACTAATGAGGAAACATGCGTAAATTAACCGTTTGAATGCTAAACAACTTTTGTGGATATTTACCAAAAATACGGAAGCGATTGTGTGCAAGAAAATTAATAACAGTACTTATCTAATGAGATCACAAATATTGTGTTATTAGAAAAGAATATCAAAAAGTAACATTTATTCGAATAAAGTTACTTTGATTTATTTATTGAAAAACACAGTAAGACAATTATAATTGATACTGATAAATAGAAGCGCCTCCGCGGTTTCCACAATTTTAGCACAACACAAGAGCGCTATAGCGCTCCTCGGCACTCGAATGATTAAGAAACAAAGCTATTTTATAGAAATATTTAGCATATCGATGCATTATACAAAACTTAACCCTTTGCACTCGGGAGGTGACTCTCGGTCACCGCTCGATTCGATACAGAAAAACTATGAATATTTAGTATTTTCAAAGAAACCTTGTATTGCTATGTGAAATATTTAAATAAAATAGCTTTGTCGCTTAATTTACCCGTGAATTGTCGTTAAGTTAGCTTCAAGCAATGTCATCTATATCTCGTCGGAGAATGTTGAACATTTCCAGTGAAAAACTTCCGAGTGCAAAGGGTTAATATTATATACAACACTCTGTGATTTTGTTACATCAAATCAAATGGTGATTGGAAGTCAACTTTCGAGTGCAAAGGGTTAACACTAGAACTAGCAGTTAAACTTTTATAGCAAAAGATTTTTTAACCTGTTATTCGGTTCTATAACTGAATTTTGTAGTTTTACCGAGTCCAATTGACAACATCACGTTTAGTAAATAAACTATTTATCACAATATAGATACTAATTTTTCTCTCGGTTAATTCTAGCAAGACAATGGAAAAATCTCTGTTTTCCATGTTTATATTTGCGAAGCTTTCACCGATGAATTCCATGAGACCTCTCCGGTGAAAATGGGACCAAAGGCGACGTCATTTGAATAACTTTCTGTTCTGATAATATATGGTTCATTGAATGCCGTTAGCGATACAATTTTCATTCAAAATCGTTCGAACAATGATAAAACGTTTGATCCCGTTCTCACCGGGAAAACCTAGTTAATTCATCGGTGAAAGTTCCGTAAAAGTGTAACACCGGGAATTAGAAAATTCGCACGAGAACATCAACTGTTCATAATCGTCGATAACTGGAAACAATGGATAGCTCGTTCCATTGAAATTATCGTGTCATTTCAATTATTCCCAAAAAATCGGTTATCGTGGGCCGCTGGCATTTCTACGTAAGCGGTCTTTCTGGAAATCCTCTCAAGCATCGCAATCGTCTGTGCCGTGCTCCCCCGAGTACCTAACCGGTCCGAAACACATTTCCCTGCCTTGGTCTTGCACCGCAGACTCTATGCAGTACATAAATCCCGCATGAGACCCGGCTTACCTACGCGAGCGACCCTACTACCCGGAGGTATTACGACCCACCACGTAACACGGAACGTCTGTCGCGACACGTATAATTCTGAATTAATAAAAAGCCAAACAGAACAGCCGCACATGCAAACCATACACGAGAATTCGCTGGCAGAACAATGATAAACTCTCGGTCTGTTCTCACGAGCGATTTTGAGGTTAGCTTGATAACCGACTCGCTCGAAATCCTGCGAAGCACGATTATATAACGTTTTCTCAGTATTTTTAAACCATCCGTTGAAATCTCAGTCATCGTTCAACGTTCAACGAACGAAATTATGATTCTGCGAACCATAGAAACGAACCGTTAAGTTTCTTGAATTCGTCTGCGCGGGAAGTTTGAATTGCTTTCGCGAGTCGGTTGCTCTACAATATCGTGTCAGACTCGTGGTGAAGATTTCAAAATTTAACAAATGTAAGTATCATTTCACTCTCTCGTGTCCGAATTGGATATTATTCTTCTATTATCAATTATAACGCTAAGTAAACGTAGACATAGAATAAGCATAGAATTTTCCTTCTGTAACGAACTACGAATAATAAAATACATCTGTGGAGCGCAATTGGGAAAGGAATTACAGGGCAAGGGGTTTAAAATCACAATCCGTTGAAATCTCAATCGTAGTTCAACGTTCAACGAACGGAATGATATTTCTGTGAACCATAGAAACGAACCGTTAAGTTCTTGAATTCCTCTGGGCGGGAAATTTGAATTGCTTTGGCGAGTCGGCTACAGCGGGGACGAATTAGTTTGTCGTTTTGTGTTCATCGTTGAAATCACTTTTAGTTTTCTTTGATTGCATTTGCAGAGGCGGTTTTCGTCGGAAGCTGTACTGGATAAGAGGTCAATTCAATATTTACCCGGTTTGTAAAACGCGTGGCACTGCGTGTCAATTGGCAAAACGCGTACATGATGCTCGAGAGGGAAACACGTGCGTATAGGTTATGTACGCAACGCCGTGCGAGAAAGAGACGGCCGAGAAACTAACGTAGAAGCGAAGAGACAGGAAACAAGTGCGAGAGGAGAAGGAGAGAGCTAGAGGAGGCAGTGCGCAAGCGAATGGCCGAGAAAGATAGACTAAGGACTACTGCCGTTTTATTGGCAGAGGTGAACGACACTGCCTACTGCAAGGTGGATGCCTGTATTTCGCATAACCGCTCGTCGTTGGAACGTGCCACAAGTTTATGGGTCACTACATACTGTTTTCAAGTATGCCTTCATGCGAAAATAGTGTGGCTTCTCTTTGAGCTGGTCCTAGACGATGATGATGATAACGGAGGTTACTTTGTCAATGTAACCCTTGCTCGCTCATTTCTGGATCAGTTTTCACCCATCCCGCGTGTATGTTTATATACAATTAAATATTTATTTCTTTACACTGTTGCATTGTTTTAAGGTCGATTGGGAGCTCGTTTCATTTTTTTAAACTGTGCAGATAGGAGATAAGAAAAATTGATTTTCTTAATCATAAATGACTCGGCGTCAATTTCCTGCGTCAGTCGATTGGTCGTTGGCAGATATTTATTAATTTCCATGCGAAATAATAACGTGTAATTAATTCGTTATTGCGTTCATCTGCGATCTTCAAGTGTTGTTTATTTTCTTGTTTATTCGCGTGGAAGTTCTACAATCGATTTTCGTGTAGTACAGAATGAATTCTTTATAATCATATTATATGAATATTCATGGTTAAGAGGCACTTTAGTTAACGAGCGAATATTTCTATTTCGAAATCGCGAACCCGATAACGTGTTTTCTGTAGATCAACAGCCCATGCTGTACGTGACGTCCAACTGTAAAAGCTAATAAGCTTGTACAGGTTATGTAAGAGTGATTCGAAGGACGAGCAGAAGGGGAACGGCCTAATCAACAAGAGCGGAATCAGAATTCACAGCTAATCTGATTTTGCAGCTAACCAAACGCCATTCCGTCATCGTACAGGGTTTACGAAATGCACAAACAGAATCCCTGGCCGCATAATGAAAAAGAAACGTGACGTAAAATGACACGCACATGGCGCGATGGAAATTTGCAAGTGGCAAAATGTAAATTTCGGTTTTTAATTCGTCGAATTATACGACATCGCATATATGAATTGGAAATGACTTTCAGATCAAAAGCTGTTCGGAATATAATTCTTATAAAATCGACATTTTTTTCTGTATCTCATAGATTATGGTTCATCGAGAACAGTTCGAAATTTCTGTTCGAGGAAAATCTCGAGTAACGCGAACTGACCTCTGCTTTACTACTCCTCATCGATTTTCAGAATGTACGTCAATACGAACATACGCCGAACAGTATTCACAGAGCGGAATGCCATTGCTTAAAATAGTTAATGGATTTAACTTTCGGTTCTATCCTATTCCGATTGTATCGCGTAAACAGAAATAATCGAGAAACTTTCGTTTTCGGTATGAATGGATCTTTCCCCAAAATTTTGAGGTTAGTTTTAGTCGTTTCGGGCATCGGTATACCGAGCAATCCATTGCATCGGTCATAAATACAATATCGGATAAATATTATCTGTGCATGTCGTTTAATATTACGTAACATGGATTATTCAAACAATTTGATAAACTTAATACATGTTTCAAAATTATCCCAAGTATGGAAATAAATCTGTGAGTTAATATTAATTAGAAATTACTTAATCATTTGAAGATGGAATAGTAAATTATTTTATAATTAACTCATTACATATTTCTACTCAGTGGTGCAATTAGTTGAAACAATTGCAATTGCATAAAGAAAGATTAGATTGGAATGTATCTTGAGAATGTACATGTTGAAATCATTAACATATCAGGCAGTAACTTTGTTTACTATCAAAATGTAATTCTACCTCATTTATATATACTGATTGCTTAATCTTAAAATGACAAATGCATTGCCAATACTCAGGTTCAAGGATGCATGCATCTTAAGTTTGTCTCTGATATAATAATACAATAAAGTAATAGCAATCATTATTGTTGAATATATCACATACTATTCAATGAAACAAAAGTAACTCTATGAAAAGAAACAATCTCATTTCTCGAATAATATCACGCAGGACAGATATCAATCTAATATCCAATCATGAAAGTAACTACAATAGGACAAACTGATACTGTTACAGAAGTTTAACTTGTTTGAAGCTATTGAAATATTATAATACTGCGTATCAGCTTAGAAGCAAAGAACGAATCAAGACTTTCATTAATATACCTAAGACTATGTAACAAACAATATTACCTCCATTCAAAGACTCAACGTACTTCGCTTTTAGAGTTACTATATCAGCATTCATAATCATTGTCCTGGTGACGTTATCGCAAGAACTTGATCATAGGTAATTAACATACTATACGAAACATAGTACAGCAACCGTAACAAACCTTTGAACTGCGGTAACTGTGGAAGCTCAACTTCTTGGCAGGTACGATAGCGTGATGAGCCCTGTGACCTCTTGGACCTCTTCTTGAGAGATTTCTTGGAGAAGGGATCTATCCGGTCCACAAAGTTCGCTGACGACATGTTGGTATTAGCAGAGGCACCGTGAGAGCTGGAGGGAAGTTGAACGCTGGAGATACGTTCGTTCCTCTGCTGCCCTTTACCGGCGCTGGACGTGACTAAAGAGGCTTGCGTCCACCCCTAGGAGGCCGCATTCCGCGTAGACGAGGATAAACTCACTACACTCACAATGGGACAAAGCGACACTGCACGAGTTACGAAACCGCACGTGGTGTGTCCCTGGACACGGTAACCTACTGTTCAGACGTTCCTGAGCCGGAGAGGGGTGAAACTTAATGATCGCGCGTGCATAGCACGAGGATATTTTTCCGTGCGGCAGGACAACGTGCTGGCCGAGGGTGACTTGCTCAATCGACGAGATCCATTAAGTTTACAAGTTCGATCGAAATTCGCAAGGGAATCGCCCGGCACGTCTCCTTGTATCGGGCTGCGAGTACAGGGGCGCGATCGCTTGTTAGGCGTTGTCACACGCGAACGCACGCCCCGTCGTCGTACGTCGAATCTCCCACCTACACCGTGCTGCACAGAGAAGCGATACCGTGTCTCTCCTCGCTGGTCGTACGTGGATTACGCGTCACCTGAAATCCAGACACCGGTGATGATACGTTGCAGTGCTCAGCCACACAATTTTACGTATATTCGATTCACAGCGTTGGAGAGGAGAAAACGGCTGTGTAGCAGGCTTACCGTGTTGTGCCTGCCTGCGTGTCGGGTTCCGAGAGTCGCGCGAGAGAAAAAGCACCGTTACGAAATAGCTCGTAGACCCGTCTAGGAGGCGGTCCTCTCGCCGACGCAAAATCTATCTTTTAGCAGAATTATCTTTCTCGTACCGCACGCGGTAACCGCACTCCGTACGCGCAGCCGAACGCACACACTCACTTAAACGCCGCGATGGGGGACGACACAGAGGCTTGAACAGCACTCGGCCGCCATCAGCTGCTCGGACCGACGAGCTTCTTTCATTTTTGCCGGAACCGACCGACAGACTGTTACGCGTTAAGCATCGACGAGATTTCCTCGAGCATCGTACGTTTTATCGCGTACGCACCCACAGCCCACTATAATTTCAGCATCCACCGCACGTAAAAATTTCAATGAAAAAAGGAAAAAAATCCAGGTCCCTCGCACCGTCGCCCTCTTCACTTATTGAAAACCCGTCAAGAGGTGCCTTGTGTGCCTGAAAATAGTAATGTGCGCTCGGCAATCGTCGGCCGGAGATTGCCGATCGAACACGAGTCCGCACGAACGTCCTAGGTCGCGCCACTTTACAAATCTTTACCCTTTTGCCATTGCACCGTTGCTTTTTCCACTAGAAACCCTTTACGTTTGTATTTACATTTAACCGATCACCGTACTAACATTATTCGATATTGCGAATATTCTGTGTGTGCTTAGGGCTCTGTGTATATTTGTATATCCGCCTTAACGACCCTTGAACGTTGCATGTTCGCTTTAATATTACATGGATATGGGTGCTAATTTGAATTTAATGTAATATTTTCATTAGAGATAATAGATTCACGTCGTGATATATTTTCAAAATGTGTGGTATTAAATACTATTGTTTGTATTTATTTTAAGTATTCTTGTGGTAAGCACTATATTCCTGAAAATTCACGCATTAGATGATAGTGATAAGTTTTTCATGTATGTAGTTCATATGTTTTAATCGCTGTTTATTGTTATTAAGTGCTGTGCATAGTATCTTAGTAATTTTACTTTTATGAACCCGCCTTAAAGCAATTAGATGTGGGGTATTTTAAAATCAATGAATCGACTTGAATTCGTAAGTCCCAACCCATAAGTTTGGAATAACTAGACTATGAATGTCTGCTTATTACTCAGTTTTTAAAATAAAAATATCAATAGTCAATATACAATAGAAATGTATTTTTTTTGTTTAATGAGTTTCACGGTTATTTTATTATACATTTATGCGCAGACGAATACGCTATTAAGGCAATTTCGTATAATGTTTATGAATGATTGTTTCTATCTCTCTTTTTAACTCGGTTTTTGACGTCCGAATCATAATGCAATTAGCAACGACCATAATTAATACAACGCATGTGATTTTACCGATTTCCAATGTTTACACTATTCGATGTTTAACCGTGAGATGACGTTGCACACTTCACCACAGTTTACAAATTTGATTGTTATAACGATCTATGATATTTTAAAAACAGATTGTATTTCTAAGCTGTGAGCCAGTGAATTGATATAATAAATTGCAACATTTACAATGTAAATGTTCATAAAATTATGTCCGACTGCTGTGTTTGTTATCCTTCGCGTTTAACCTTAAAGTATTTATACCGCGCCGCTGTTGCGTTCGAAACATGTATTTGTAATAATATAAATTGACATACAAGGCAAAAAATATTTGACACAAATTTTATTGATCTTGTCAAAGCAAAACCTAGATGTGTTCAATACCAAAGGCAGATGCCTTGAATTCATTTACACGATGTCCTGGACTGTACTGTGGAAGGGAACTGTTACCTGATGGGAACTGGACAGATTGCGGTGCATGTCCTAGAGGATTTAGGGCAAATACTTCTTCAATATGTGTGCCTTGTAACGATGAACCTATGTTTTATGACTGGTTGTATCTTGGTTTTATGGCATTGTTAGCTTTAGTGTTACATTGGTTTTGTATCGATAAGGTATCTATGCGACGAAATATACCTAAGGAAGTGATAGCATTGTATTTGTCTGCCTTATTCGAGGTTGTCGCTGCATCACTCATCACTTTGCAAGTAACTGAACCTATAAGTACTTTCAGAATTACATCATGTAGAGCTACTAAACTCTCAGACTGGTATACATTGTTGCATAATCCTAGCCCAAATTATGAAGAATCTCTACATTGCACACAAGAAGCTGTTTATCCATTGTTAGTACTCATAATATCTTCAAATTATTAGATACCTCTCTGTTACATCAATCTATTAACCATTTAACTTTTAGGTACACAATGGTCTTTATTTTTTATGCTCTAGGAATAGCTATTATGTTATTGATAAGACCATTAATAGCTAAGAAATTTTTACCAGTCCAAGGGAAATTTTCAATTTATGCTGCTCTTTACTTTTATCCAATTTTAGCATTGCTTCATGCAGTTGGTGGTGGTCTGATATGTGAGTAAGAAATATTATATATCATGGAAAAAAATATATTTATCTAAACATCTTCATTCTTTTTTATAGATTATTCATTTCCACATATAACAATAATATTATCTGTTTTATCTAATGCAGCACACTTTGCATTTAAATTAAATCAGGTATAGTTTTTATACTTACAGTTAAGTACATTCAAATATAAAGTTTCAGTTATTACATGAAGTATATGTTTGTTTTAGACAATGAAATCATTATTGGTGAGTTCTGTATCGAATATGAAGAATGTGATAGTTATTCTAGGTCATTGGCTCTTACACGGATACGGTATCGTTTCCATCGCGACTTTGTACGGTCTCAACATTCATCCAGCGATGCTTGCTCTAGTTCCGTTACCTGCGTTATTTTATATTCTTACAGCCAGATTTACAGATCCAGAAAAACTGCATACCGAATAAATATTGTTCTAAAAATTGAGTACCAACATAATTGCACAAAATATAATTATCTTTAAAAATAATATAATGGGAAAATCATAACACTTCATGTCTTTGCTATATGCATATTTAATTATACACACTTGCAGTTGGCAAAAAGAATACATGATTGGATTAAATAAATGCCATTACATAAATATATTAAACAAGTGGTTATGCTTGATAAATAGAATGGTTCATCACACAGCGATTAACTTAATTCTTTGGCACAAATGTTAGAACAACAGTGCTCTTTCCAGATATAGGAACCTTGTTAGAGGACAGCTTTGTTCTGAAACAAAGGATGAACGTATTATACAATAATTATTTTTTATTGTTTCGAAAAGTAAAAGAAATACATAGTTGTATAGTAATTTACCTTATTGTTTCACCCTCTTGTACATAATTAGGGCTGTGTGCTACCACACTGACTTCAGACGAAACTTGTGGTAATGTAGACAAATCCACTACTGTGGGTTCTTCTGCTGTTTGATATGCTACTAAGTAGCCAGGATTGCCACTCTTCAACCTAAACATTTAATTATAATTGTAATATTAATTTAATAATTTGACAATAAACGAAGAAAAACAATTAAAGCAATTAATTAGATTAATTTACATGTATACTTGGTTAATTAAAACGAAGATTATTACACAATTATTTCTACAAAAGATGGATTTCATGCAATATGTTAATAAGTTAGAACTCACCAGCTCCTGTGTAGTATAGAAGGAAGCGTGAAACATGGTAAATTAATCTTTGGTTAGCAAATTACATAATACATTTTTGTAAGGTGTATGTTACTTAAGCTCTAGGTATTATTGTTAAACGATAATTCTAATGTTTGTAGCAATTGAAATCTAAATCGGTATAATATTTTTCTTATGTATGAATAAATTTAATTAAGTCAATTCTACCTCTTAAAAATAGTTAATGTTATCTATAAAGATTTAATTTATGTTACTCCTTATTATTAAGTTATAAAGAAAATGTAGTGCATGTGATGAATAATTTTGAATATTAATAGTCAATTTTTTACATTACCTTGTGTACGCAAATACTGTTCCGTTAACAGTCCGAGGTAACGTCTCTCCATAAAGGAATGTTACACTCTCACGTGCTTTGGATAAAGTTGCAAATGCATCCTTTGCAGATAAAGTATCGTTTAAGGTGAGTATTGGAGTACCAGGCAAAAGTAAAGTCATGAGCGTTAAACTGTCTGCTATATCTGCAGGCATTCTCTGTCTCAAAGTATTTCTTTTACCATTGAGCTGAAATGTGTATACAAGATTATAAACTAAGGATCACGATTGAAATCTTATCGACAGATATCACAGAAACTTACATCCCAAGCAGGCCATGAAGTGAATTCTAGCCAATGCGAGATACCTTTATGTAAAGTTGTGGAATTTATACTACTATTAGCAGTTATAAGAAACTGAGAACTTTGTGGGATGTCGATCAGTCTTTTCTTCTCATTGTAAACTTGTAAAATATCAGTTCCAATGTCATCTTGAAGAGCAAACAATCTGGCAAAAAAATATTGTAATTATAGATTTGTTATAAAATGCGTTTAGTAAGCGCAATAGTTTTCATTAAAAAAAATGGCTGACCCTTTATTGTCTGTTTCATTATAAACCCTTTCCTGCCATTTTGATAAGATTGCAGCATTCTCTGGGCGATCTCTTGTATAAGCATGTATTAACGAATTATAATCGTCTGCTTCAGTAGGAATAGTACTTCTGAATTCATCATTAAGTTCTGGATGCACAGTTAAGTATTGAGTGTTTGCTAACCGGAAACCACTGATTCCCAATTTTACCCAATGATTCAGAACATCCTATATCAATAAAGATGTTAATTAATGTAATATGAGATATATAAGTACATATATGTGAAATATAAGGATAATTGACTTACAGCAAATTCAGTAACTACAGCTGGATTATTGTAATTCAACTGAGGTTGGCTGCTATTGAACTGATGCAAATAATATTGTCCTCTTTGCTCATTCCATTCCCATGCAGACCCTCCAAATACACTTAACTAAAGGCAGAACACATTCATGAAAAACATAAGTTGTAACTAAATGATAAACAGATTTTATTTTAAAAAGTAACTAACCCAATTATTAGGTGGATTACGTCTACCATCAAATGTTTTTTCATCTGCCCAAACATAGTAAGATGTGAATGGATCTTCTTTCTCAATAGAACGTTTAAACCAAGGATGTTCAGTTGATGTATGAGTTGGATCTAATTCCAAAATAATATGTTGATCTCTTTCTTTTGCAGATTTTATAAGAGCCTCTAGATCATGGATAGTTCCAAATTCTGGTTGAATATCTTTCATATCATCTATTCCCCCTATATTTAAAAGTACAATGCATTAATCTTTTATTACAAGAACATAATGAGTTATATATTACAAGTACATCAACACATACTTGGACTTCCTTTAACCACTGATGCAAGGGAAATTGCATCTATACTTTGCCCTTTCAAAGTATCCAAAAGAGCTTCTACACCTTTCAAATTATGTGTGCTAGTCTCAGCAGGATCTAAGTGGACAATAGGACTTTTCTCCCACCATTCTTTTGGCTTCGGTGCTGAACATTTTGGAGCCATTACCACAATAGCTATTGCACCGAACAACATAGCAGCCCATAATAACCAAAAGGTAATGAACAAAAACCATCTCAATCGAACCCAAAATGGATCATTAGCAAACTTCATTAATTCCTCCTTGCCCATTCCAGAAAGAGCTTGTTTAACTGTTTCGATATCGATCTTAGTATCACCATTCTCAGAAATAAATTTCACCTATTTATAAAAATAATCTATTACTACAAAAATATCATACAAATATACATCTTACATTGTTTACTTAATCATACAATGAATCACGGTGAAGTTCCCCAGGTTAAACCCGAGATTTTTCCTTCAATTCAAAGATGATGCAACAGGGAGAAGCTGTTACTCGTGAACACTATATTTATTCCGGTACACGACAGTCTCAACATACTTACAACGAACGTTGACAAGAAAATTAGAAAGTTGTTCGAAATCGTATCGATCGTATCCTACCGAGCGAACAATTGATCGTCGGAGCGGAGCAAAGTGCACACGAGACAAAGGAAATTCCTTAACAAGTGTCACCCAAATATATGAATAAAAAGATGATCGTACAAAGACAAAAGGTAGATTTTTCAAATTGTAAACGTGAATAACATAACGTCTCATTGATCTCACGCGGGAATAGGCGTGTCGGCTAGAAAGCATGCTCATTTATGGATTTACGGTACTCACCTCGGTCGCATCTTTCGTGTTGGAAATTTTATTCTCCTCATTGAGCATCTTCTCGTGCGCCCCATCGTTGATCTCGTTTTCATTGTTCGGCTTACCCATCGCGGTATTTTCTGTTGAGTCGCGCTTGTCGTCGTCCGGAAGCGGCTTATACGTGGCAGCAACTGCCGCTTCTTTCGCGACACCGTTCGCCTCGGCGCTATCTAAATCCAACCTCCCACTCTCCATTGCGACCGCGGAACAGATTCCAAGGACGTGTATAAAGTCTTACGCAACGGGGATGCTCAGAAGCAAGGAGAAAATCCTTTCTCTTTTGGCGAAGACTCGACGACCCTTACGCACCACCGTCCCTCAACCTTCCAACGCTAAGAATGACCGAGCGAATGCGTTTTAACCCTCCCGAGATTGCTGGTTGGTTCCCTCGGCCCCCTTTTTGTCCTGGACCTACTTACTTTTACCACTACAAGCGCACAGCACGAGATCACAATCAGGGCCGACCCTTGTCCCTAAAAGGTTCCGTGGCTTTGAGGTCCAAATATTTATTTGATTGTTCAGGTACAGTCGCGAAAGTATGTTTAAGTAAAATGAAGTATTTTTTCCAGTTTTTTGCCATTTAATGTGTTGGTATTTCCGTGTTTAAAAGGGGTGGTTGGTTTTAACAATTAGATGTAAATAGAAGTAGGAAAAGATATTAGTTTACCAATGTTTCTTGGTTTCCATTGATTGTTAGTATATTAAAACTTCAAGAACAAAGGGAACGTAATTGGACTGAAACGAAAGGATCAACATTGAATTGACATTAAAAATTGTTCTGACCAGGGTACCACGCTACCGTAGCCCAGAACTGATAGTGCTCTGATTTCGATTGAATCGATTCAAACGACGAATGGGACAGTTGCTTCGAGCAGCACACCAACGCAAAATGCCTTTTCAGCCTTCGGACGTATCATTTATATTTACAATTGTTAATTTCAATGCTATCTATTTCAATGCGACAATTGTATAACGATTAAGGGTGTCTCGCTGCGACATGATTCATATGGAAAAATACATTCGCATTTGGGGTAGCGTATACTTTTCCATCCAAAAAGAAAAATGGGCGTGACTATCAGAGATTTAACGAACAAAGAGAATCAGTTTATACGAACCTTAATTTCCAAGATAATCGATTTCTCGAGATCTTAATCGATCGAACCACTCCAGAGATTCCGATCGAAAGGAAGCACGTTGGACCGCGATTAAATACCACAGTATTAACGAGCAGATGTCGATTATGAATTCAGTGTAGTATTAACGTGCAACTGCACCAGACCAATTTTCAATACTAAGCACTTTTACACGAGAGTACGCGCGTTACGTCACAAATTGAAACTTTGTTAAGCGAGCGTCCGTTTTCCCCCGCGCGTTTTTAAAATCGATTATTTGCCCGGTGAGTTGTGATTCGAATGACAGGTTTGTATATATTTTTCATTTATTTTATTATAAGAAAACATACAATACATATGTCCCGCAGACTATACTACATAATCCGTATATTATAATCACTTATAAAAAATAATTTCTTATCCTAAGAAATTCCTCTACTTTCTTTACTTATATGCTGTTCACTTGCTTTCAATTATTTACCTCATTCCATTTCTTATTTCGCATTTGCGTTGAACGCTAGCTAACGCGAGCAGAGGAATCCAATGCTTATCTTCTATCGTGCTGATAGCACAAAAATGCTACATTTATCGGTCTAGACATGTACACTGTTTGTTGGTAGACTTATTTGGTAAGAGATTACAAGCTGTATATAAACGCGTAGTACATATTTCGCGTAGTTACGATGTCCGGAATACTCACTGCAACAACGTGGTAAACATAAATATTTCCGTCGGTTAAAACCCGTAGAAAACGCTCGTGTATACTCACTGTGTTTGTCGTGTTCGAGATACGTACTTCGCCAGATCTTGTGCAAGTTTGCGGCAGCAGGCAGCAGTAAGATAAAACCGATGCAATCAGCACTACTATTAACATGACCCACAGAAACCAGAACACGAACAGACGAACGTTCATCCAAACCGGATTAATAGTGTAATATCGGAGATTGTCGTTCATCGATTCTGAAAATAAGTGCGTTAAGTTCGGTTAAGTTCCAAAGTGCGTCAAATGTAAACAAGTCAATCCAATAAGTTTTATATCCATCGAGTTTGTTTCGTTATATTTTACGAGAGTGATCGAGCATCGAAATTCGTCGATATTTTGATTCGTAACTTCACTTCGACCGATCGAATTTCAATAAACCGACGCGTAACAGTGCGCGGGCATGCAAACAATAGACAGGTGCGCGGTGATTGGTCGAATTCAAATTCGCGACTTTGGGAATCCGTTAACGACTCGAGCGTCGCGGGAACATTTCACGGTGATCGTATGTGGTGATGATGAGTATAGCAAACCTGCGTCCCATCGCTTCTCTTTGGTCCCGTTGATTCGTATGGCGTGGTAGACGGGCTTGCCGCAGAATAGGTGAGTGGTTTCTTTGGATTCCATTGTTTTCACATGCTACCTTTCTTCTGCCGTGCTCGCCGTTTACTATCTGAGTGGCCGACTAACGGATTTCTTGAATCATCGTCCCTTCCGTTACACATTCGTTTGTTTCCCGATATGACGACAGAATATATACATATGTAACGTTCAGTTGTGTTTACGAAAGCCGAACCGATTTGGGCTGACCGTCGACGATCGGTCTCGCTTAATAGAACAATGAAGGCGGACGCGTACGCACGAGATAAATATAGGCACGAATAGATACCGATTCAACGGCGAAATTGCTTTTGCCACCCCTATTGTTGTTTTTCCGTTACTCTTATCGGCGCGCGAGATACGCTCGCGGCGTTTCCAATATATTTGCGTCCCGTCCGACTCGCCGCTTCAATTAGAAGACGCTCGACTCGTAACAGATAATTTTAGTATACGATGTTTTTAACCCTCGTCCACTGCAGATACCGAGTCGCTCTTGACCTGTCTCTTTGTGTTCGAATTGCTGCGATGTTAACCGTCGAACCACCTAACTCGTGGAACGTAGATTTCACTCGTTTGTTTTTCACGTTTTTAATTGCAAATGCCGGTTGTATGCTTCTTTTTTATTGAACCGACGTTTAATGGTCGGCTAACGTATAATTTTATTATTATCGAGTTTGTTTCCAACACGGTTTCTTGTGTTAGACTGATTTACATTTTGAACAGTGGACGATGCATTCCTATCTGTACTACTTGAATATCTACACTGTCGAAATATCATGACTGTTCATGATATTGGTATATATGCAACTGGCTTCTGAATGACACGTGCCAGCAAGTCAGTTTATATAACATGCGGTGCTATGAGTCATTTCACACATTCTCGAATTTGTGAGTATACTTAGATAGTAGGAGTATTTGTGTTATCATTGATATGGATTACAATGGCAATGCAGACTGGGGGGTTCAACACCTGGGGCCAATGTCTCGCAACAAAAATAGATTCATTATCTATAGATCAACGTGGGCACATGTACTACAGGTGTGGAATGAAATATGAATTCATGTACTGTGGTTCTTTTTATAGTTACAAGCGTTTAATGAAGAAATACTTTGTCCACTACAATTAATTTGATTCTTATATAAGGAGGATTTATGCGTATAAAAATATTTAACATTTAAATAAGAATGTTACAGCTAAAGTTATGGTTATTATTAATTGTAACATTGTCGTTGAATCAGCAGCAGAATTATGCCCTGGCTTTTTAGTAGTCGATGTTGGAATTGTTGGATCTGGCTCCATTATTTCTGTAACTTTTAAAACATATGCAGCATTGGCACTGAGTATCAACCTTTCTGCAGAAACAGTTTTCCTAGGGAATGCAATTATATGTTACTTGTAGGTACCACAAGGTTCATAATAGATTGAATGCAAAGTTCAACTTACATAGTTACAACAGCATTGCTAGAGGCAACAACAATCTCCATGGAATCCTCTATGTTTGGATATGTTGAAGTTAAATTAACTGTCTCTTGCCGCAGTCCCAAATTAACAATAACAACATAAGTTGAATAATTCTCCAAGAATCTAAGCACAAATGAAAGAGGCTCATTATTGAGCATCTGTATTTGAGTCTCTAAATACTGCATACAAACCTTTTCAAAATAAATACAGAATCGTTATTTATGGTTGTTAACTCATAATTGCCATGAGTGAACTCTTTTCCTTTTCTGAGAGTAGAAAGTAATTTATAAGTGTTCAAGTTACTCTGGTTCATGTGCTTTTGCAATTCCACATTTCTTGTTGCATAATCAGGATGTATAGGAAGATACGTATTCTTAGTGGTTGAGAATCCTCCAGATGTACTGGAGTCCCATTGCATTGGTGTTCTTGCTGGGTCTCTAGAGTATTTTTCATAAGTGTTTGGTCTTCGCGATTTACCCATAGGATCAATCGTGTCAGCCCATGAAATTTTCCTATCTAACATTGCTATTTCTTCTCCGTAATAAGTGTATGCCTGGCCAGGCAATAATAAATTAAGCATATTGAGACCATCAGCACGATTTAATCCAATTCTCGAAGCTGCTCTAGGATTATCATGATTGGAGAGCTGAAAATATAGAAAAAAATATGTCCTTTTTAGACCAAATACACAGAACAGGTATGAATTATGATCATATATCTTTTTACCACCCAGTTTGTGCTTGCGTTATTGGGAATCATTTCAAGCCAGTCTTGTATAACACACCTGATATCCCCAGCTGTGCTAGTATTTTGAATAGAGGTAATAAAATGAAAATTAAATGGGGGAATCCCCTTATTATTACGGTTACCATAATATTTCACTAATGTTTCATCAGAATCAAAAGACTCTACAATCAGCAATCTACAAGCAAACAATTATGTTAGATTAATATCAGTACCAAGAAAGTAATTCCTTACAAATCAACATCTTTGCATATACTTTGAAGTACTCTTGAATTCTGCTACCCAATTATCAATATACGATCGAATTCTGTATACAAAATCCCTGCTCTCAGGTAGTCCTTTAGTGTAATTTCCATTCCCGGCAACAGGTTCATTTCTTAAATCCTCATCTTCGAACAAATATGACACAGCATCAATACGAAATCCATCAACATGTCTTTCCAACCAGAAGCGAAAAACACTCTGCAACGTTGAAAGCATATCAATGTCTAATCGACTTGCAAAGTGTAATATTATCATAGCATTAATAATATACCTCTAATTCTTTTATCACATCTTTGCTTCTTAAATTGAGATCAGGTTGGGATTGATGAAATTTATGATAATACCACTGTTTCCTTATTCTATCCCATGTCCAAGCAGAACCCTCCTCCTCGCTGTAGGTGCTCACCTGAGATAAAGAACAAGAGTACCAATATTACACCTTCTAAAATTATCTCAGCATGTGGCATACCCAATTATTAGGTGGTATCCGTTTCCCCCATTCCACAGATCCGTCCGCCCAGACATAATAGTTGGTATATGGTTCGATTTTATCAACAGACCACTTGAACCACCAATGCCTGTCGCTAGAATGGTTCGGTACTATGTCCAAAATGACTTTTATATCTGCGGAACAGTACCTCGTACAGAGCAATGCTTTCTTCAATTTCAAATGGAAATTGTTGACACACGAAACTCACCACGCTCGTGCGCCTTCTTTATCAACAAATCAAATTTATCCAAGTTACCAAAAACTGGATTTACGTCGGTGTAATTTGAAACGTCGTATCCAGAATCGATTAAAGGCGATGAGTAAATAGGGTTCAACCAGATAGCATCAACCCCAAGTTCTTGGATGTAGTCGAGGCGACTGATGATACCTGTATTCAGAATCCATACATTTCAGGGTCAACTTAAGTATACAAAAAAATTACATAATTCTCCAAATTTTCGTTAGATCGTCGTTCGAGCTATATAACATTTTGTGGATCGAACTCCGGAGATAATCAGCTTCAGAAAGATTAAACTGAACACTGACCATTGTTAACCTTCAATTTTTTTTCTTGAGTTAAAAACAATCCAGTAATAATCTTGAAGATACAATGTAAATTTTGTGTATTTCATACGAGAAGAAAATATAGTTTCAATGTCTTGTACTCATTATTCATAGTGTAGAATCCTAGAATAACTACCCCTTCGGTTATTTTAGAGGTAATCCTAGCTCGAATCGTAGGATCATAATTTTTGTAAATTTCGACGTTTTCAATTGCGAATTCCTTTCGTCGAACGCACCGGGAATAACGATTCCCGTCGAACGATAATGTATCGATGCCTCGTTATCGGTGACTCGCCGGGAATGCTGAAGTAACTTCAATTGGTACATTGACCAGCGAATGATAAACGAGACCGACACGGCAACCCCGTTCTCGGAGCGACCTGATACCCCGTCGATATTACGAAAGTAGGCTGGCCCGATCGGCAACGTTAGTTTAAACTTCTCTCTCGCGAAGGTTGTAATGTTTCTATTTTATCGAAGACTTTTACCGTAAAACATTTCGTGGAAATGAAAACTAGATACAGATTAACCTAATAAGCGTTTCGAAAATTCCTCTATATCGTTTTTAAGACTACCAGTTAAATTGACCTATATTAATTTTTTTTATAGAAACTATAAGATTGGATGTATTAAGATCCCAATTGTATTTTAGTTCGACCGATTATATAATCAACTAGTTCAATGATTTCTCAGAGAAGCATTTATGTTTTTCAATATTTCTGGCCCATCTGGTAGTTCTAATGTTAAGCAGTTTACCGTATTAAGTTGCGAGTGAAATAGGTCCATTGAATTTTCCTAAATATCAGACTACATTTCTACGCAATCTCCAATCAATTAACGACCATAATTAACTGTTCCACAATTATTGTAAAACACAGTGAAAATCATCGGTAATTCAACCAAAATCCATTCGTCCATTTGCGAGTCTCCCAATATTCATAGGGTAATTTCATTGGTCCGCAACGTACGATCGAACACCATCTATTACTACTATTGATTAACTGGCTAAAGGACTCTTTGAAATGCCAGAGTAATTACACTAGATCACGGGGCATTATAACACCTAGTTAGTTTCAACTAGCTACCTAACTAAGCACTAGTCAGCTAGTCCTTCATCCACTTTCTCCTCAAGATTACCATTCAATTCTCCTCCATTTCTGCCAACAGTTACATCAATCAAACATTCATCCCAAATTTTGATGGAAAATTCTCGATCGTAGACTAGCAGTCAGAAATTTTTAAGGTCTCGGCCACGTATCCGCTGCTCGGACCTAGCCGAGGCCGTTTCCGCTGAATCGAGCGTCCGAGTCAGCACGTCGACACTAGGTTCACGATGTCAGCATTCTGGATGACGTTCCTTTCCATAATCTGCCTGAAATGGCATACCCTACCCTCTCATTACGGTGTATCTATACGTCGAGTAGCGAACTCCGAGTAATGTAGTACCTGATGTTGAGACAGAAAACAACTCTGCCAACTTCTAAGAAGCAGTCTCTGTTTCCGGGTTGGAGTTTCAAGCTCTTCTAACCGTAAATAATGAAACTACCATGCACCTACTGCTGCACACTTAAGGCAATTCCGAGTAAAATGGCCTGATCTCGTTTACATCATCAAATTTCTCTATTTTCATCTTCAGTGGTATACTCAATCTTAGCTTATACACCTACTTAACTATTCTTATCTAGATTTGCTATCATAAATATACATCTTCTTTCTACAGCAATGATACCTATGATCATTCTTCCAACGAAACAACCATCCCTCCCCGACTTATTTCCCAAAGATAACAGAAACCACGTTAAGCCTCCTAATTTAAGCACTACATTTTCACCGCACGTTACTGGAGTTCCCCCATTTTCGAGCCGTTCGTTCCTCGCGCCGCAGCCTGCGCTTAGCTACCACACGAAGGGGTTAGGCGTTTCTAGCAACACCTGTGGATTCCCTGGTGAACCGTTCCACGTACCCTCCAAGTCGCCCTCGCCGTCTCCGTCGCTGTCCTGGAAGCCCCTTGGCCAGACTTGATAGACCAGCGCGGTTTCCCACCATTCCTTGTCAGCGATGTTCTCCGTTCGGCAGTCAACGCAGCACAGCGCCGCCAGGGCCAGCAGCAGACGTAATACGCGGCACCCGGTCATGTTCCGGCCGAGGAACGAGAGTTTCGCGGCGACCCGCGATTTCGTCCTGTTATATATTTTCGCTGGGCACTGGGTTATCGAGCTTTATCTCCGCTATCGGCGATGACTCCCAGCGCCCTTATCGCGCGCCTGTTCCTTGTCCCCGAATCGACGAGGCCGCGCCATTGTTTACGCTCGAAGCGTTTCTTCGACGCTTTGTCCACAGTGTCGGCCGAATTTCGGTGACGTAATGTTTCATAGATCCCGAAATGGATCTTCGCGTTCACGAGTTCGGCGAAGAAACGTTCGGGATCTGTGAGATGCGATTGACCCTTTGACTACAGCAGCGAATGGGCTTTTATTGCCAATCGTTGCGTTTCCAAGCGAACGTGGATGTAACTGAAATTTCTTTCTAGTTTCAGTGAATTGTCAGCGAGACAGTAGTTCTAGAGTATAGTCGTGAAGGAGATTAAGGGATGAATCGTCATTGGAATCTTGACTTCTCGGTTTCTGGGTTGTAAAGGGGATGGTCTCGGTTGTCAGAGGATTAGACGAAATGTGTTTTCCTAATCTTCGTAAGAAGTTAGGAAGAATGCTTGAATCGTTCATTCAAATGTTAGCTGCAAGTGTCATGGAATGATGGATAGGGGATTGCGGAGATTGGGGATGAAGGAATTTGCTGGAAACGCTTTCACCTGCTGATCTTCGTTGCTGATGGAGTACAGCTGCGAATTGCTGTGTTTTAATCTAGGTGTATCAAAGTTGCCTCTGTAACTTGGTTTTCATCTGGAATCTTTATTATTTAATCTATTCGTTAATTTATTAGTCAATCGTTGGAGTACCTTGAAATCTAGGATACCCTATCGGAATACTGTCCAGACAGTTTGCTCGTGAAATCTCGTCATTTACTGTGTCGGTGAATTGTTCAAATATTATCGCAAGTGGCAGTGCAGCGTACTCGGTTGGAACGATTCCGCAAACATTGCGGTTCCTCGCGATTTATACCGATTGAATTATCAGAACGCTTCTCGAACTACCAACGGCATAGCAGACTTTTGTTTCGGGCACCTATCTGCGCGATGCGATCGCAGGGAGCACGGTCAAGGGGTATCGGATGTAGGAACGTAGTAGCGAAGGCTCGCGATTCTTGCCAAGGGGAAGAGATCTCTTGGCATTGTAGATCTTGGCGCCTGTCCTAAGTAGTTTGGACGCGGGCACGGACGATCGGATTGCATCTCTCGGGACTCCTCGAAGGAACGCACGAGATAACTTGAACGATAAACAGTCTCTATGGAGATAGACACTAACATCTAATAATGATTAGAAACGGGTTGTTGGTTATCATAGAGATTTAAGTATTGTAATTAATTAAAGAATCGTTACGTTCGTTACGTATAATAGTTACAATCAATTGCAGAAATATTTATTAAGTTCCATTGAAAATTTGGTACTTCAATTTCGACATTTCAATTCTAATATTTCCAACATTCTAACTTCTATATTTCAATTTAATAGTATTGTAATTGATTAAGGAATTGTTATGTTGGTTACGTAAAATAATTACAATCAATTATAGAATTATTTATTCAGTTCCACTGAGAATTTTGATATTTCAATTTCGACATTTCAATTCTAATATTTCCAACATTCTAACTTCTACATATCAGTTTAATAGTATTGTAATTGATTGAGTAAAGCAATTAATTAAGGAATTGTTATGTTGGTTACGTACAGTAATTACAATCGATTATAGAATTATTTATTAAGTTCCGTTGAAAATCTTAATACTTCAATTCGCATATTTCAATTTTAATATTTCCATTTCAACATTCCAACTTCAATATTTCAATCTAATAATTACAGAGTTTTAATAATCATCACACCACGTTAATTCGGACAGACTTCAACGGGGACTCGCCGCGAAAAAAGTTTCCGCCAGACAGGCGAGACGTTGGGAGCTAACCAGAGCGCACGAACGACGAGTTAACTCGTCCCCTTTACTCCGCAGTCCGACCGCGAAGTTTCTTAGCCAGGAAAATGAATCGGGACCTCCGGCCTCCGTTTTTCACCGTGCTCGGTAGCATCGGCGGCACCGAGCGTCGGCCGTAATTAATTCCTGGGTCCGCCGGTTAATTAAAATTCCCCGCGACTCGTAAAAACGATGCGCCGCCGTTTGAACGGCCCACGGCCGCGAGCTGTCGTACGGAAAATATCGCCCGTATTTCACCGGCCGCCCTTAAACGGTCTCTGAAATAATTCATAGCCGCGGTTAACCCTTTGCTCGCGGTCCAAGGTGGCGCGCTCTGAATACTTCGACCACAGTGGCGCGTCGGGGGTGCGTTTGCGGCGGGTCTGCACGCGGAAACATGTATTCTTTTGTTTTCTAATGGGAAGTAGCTTTGTAATTTACGTTGGAACACGAGTAGCTACGTTCAGCAATCGATTAAGGATATAGATAATTGCATGTCGAGCGCATTTTTCGTTCGCAGCAATCTTTTCGAATGATGAAACGATAAATAATGATTTAACGCGTTGAATTCCGTGGGGGTCACCGGTGACCCCGACCAAATCGAATTACTGTAGTTCAATTAAATGATTATATGAAAACATTTCTATATTATAAATAATGCTACCTAATACGATGACGTTCAGGTGGATGAACGTGGAATAGTAACAATGTAACTCGATTAAATGATTTAATATTATGTTTTGTCCATTCTGTGTATTTTCCTCTATGAAATCGTGCGGCGTTCAACGTGTTAATAGCAATTTTTGTTTTGTGACTTGATTGCGAAGGGAATGAGGGAGAAGAATGTGAAAAAGTTGGCACGTTGTAATGATTAATAACTGTGATATTGGTAATGTTAGTTGTTGGTAATCGTAATAGTGGAAATAATTGTTAGTGATAATCGTAATTAACAATTGTAGTGACAATTATAGTTGTTAGGAAATGTAATAGCTGCGATAACAGATATCACCAATTACATTAATAGTAACAATAATTATTCGCAAATCGCAAAACAAACAGCAATCGCAGAAACAACAATAATTATTAGTAATTATAAAAGAAATAACAATAGTTATTAACGATTATAATAATAGCAATAACACTTATTAGT